CCTGAATGGAGGGCAGGTTGGCACCAATGATCTTTTCTGCAGTCCTGACTGTCCGTTGTAGTCTGCTCCTGTCCTTTTTGGTGGCAGATCCAAACCAGACAGTGATGGATGTGCAGAGAACATACTGGATGATGGCTGTGTAGATCTGGATTAGCAGCTCCTTAGGCAGGTTGAGCTTCCTGAGCTGACGCAGAAAATACATCCTCTGCTGGGCCTTCTTGATGATGGTGTCAGTGTTGGGCTCCCACTTCAGGTACTGGGATATAGTGGAACCCAGAAACCTGAAGGATTCCACAGCAGACACAGGACTGTTGGGTATGGTGATGGGGGACAGAATGGGGGCTCCTCCTGAAGTCCACGGTCATCTCCACGGTTTTGAGCGTGTTAAACTCCAGGTTGTTCTGACCGCACCAGAGAGCCAGCTGATCAACCTCCCGTATGTAGGCCGACTCATCACAGCCCCAGATGAGGCCGATGACCGTTGTGTCGTCAGCGAACTTCCGGAGTTTGACAGATGGGTCTCCTGAGGTGCAGCTGATAGTCCGGGAGCTGGATGTGATGTTTCTCAGCCTCACCTGCTGACTCCTGTCAGTAAGGAAGTCTGTGATCCACTGACAGGTGCAGGCTGGCACAGTGAGCTGGGTGAGTTTTGTGCTGAGGATGTCCGGGATGATGGTATTGAACGCCGAGCTGAAGTCCACGAGCAGGATCCTTGCATATGTCCCTGGAGAGTCGAGGTGTTGCAGGATGTAATGCAGACCCAAGTTGACAGCATCATCCACAGACCTGTTAGCCCTGTAGGCAAACTGCAGGGGGTCCAACAGGGGGCTTGTAATGTCCTTCAGGTGGGCCAACACCAGTCTTTCAAAGGACTTCAGGTCAGGGCAACGGGCCTGTAGCCATTTAGTCCAGAGATGGAGGGTTTTTTTGGGACCGGGATGACTGTGGAGCGTTTGAAGCAGGAGGGAGCTTCACACAGCTCCAGTGATCTGTTGAAGATCTGAGTGAAGATGGGGGCCAGCTGGTCCACACAGATTTTCAGGCACGAAGGTGAGACACCGTCAGGTCCAGGAGCCTTCCTGATCTTCTGCCTTTGGAAAAGGTGGCTCCCGTCCTCTTCACAGATCTTGAGTGCAGGTGAGAGGTCAGAGGGGAAAGGTGACTGTTTGAAGATGGTGTTGGAGTGGGGGAGAGGTGTGACTATGGGCTTTTCAAACCTACAGTAGAAACCATTCAGCTTGTCTGCCAGTTGTTGAGTACAAGCAGTGTTGGGGGATGGTCTCTTGTAGTTTGTGAGTGTCCGCAGGCTTCTCCACACTGACACAGGGTTGTTATTTAGCTTTTCAGCATAGCACCTCTTTGCAGCTTTGATCTCTTTAGTCAGCATGTTCCTGGCCTGGTTGTAAAAGACTCTGTCCCCACTTCTGAAGGCCTCCTCTTTGGTCTGATGAAGCTGCCTGAGTTTCGCTGTGAACCATGGTTTTTGGTTGTTGTATGTGCGGAAGGTTTTATTCGGCAGTAAGATTTAAGATGTCACAGTGTCAGTTAGTTCGTCCAGGTCAGTGGCTGTAGCCTCAAAAACACTCCAGTCAGTACAGTCAAAGCAGGCCTGTAACTCCAGCTTTGACTCGTTTGTCCATCTTTTCACAGTCTTTACAACAGGTTTAGCAGATTTCAGTTTTTGCCTGTGTCGGGAGAAGGATGAACCAGACAGTGATCAGAGAGTCCCAAGGCTGCACGGGGAACAGAGCGATAGGCGTCCTTTAATGTTGTGTAGCAGTGGTCCAGTGTGTTAGTGTCCCTGGTGGGACACTTAATATGCTGTCTGTACTTTGGAAGTTCATGGCTGAGGTTTTCTTTGTTAAAGTCCCGTCCCGTAGAACAATGAGCAGGGAGTCTGGGTGTTTTTTCTCCACGTTAGTTATCTGGTCGGCCAGGTGTAGTAACGCCTCACTAACACAGGCCTGAGGTGGAATGTAAACAGCGACCAGAACAAACGAGGAAAACTCCCTCGGTGAATAAAACGGTTTACAGTTTACAAATAATATCTCTAGGTGAGGCCTGCATGATTTCTTCAACAGACAATCCATCCAATAGTAATCAAGACATTTCACTCAAAACTAGAAATGTCACCCTCATGGTGGCGCTAGAGGAAAAGCCAGTGGATCACCAAAGTCATTAGGATTCATCCACTGGGGACCATGAATGTCAGAATTTCAGAGCAATCCATATAGTGGTTGTCGTAGGTACAACTACAAGTTGGCAAAAATGCTTATGTCACGCTACACACCTCTCCTCCTTCAACACACTCAGGCCCATTTATAACATGTTACAACAACATATAACACTTATGACACCTTCTATTAATGAACTGCAGAATGTCAGGCCGGGAGTCATTGTCGAGCAGTTTCACCCATTCCTGCAACTATCACTAATTGTTGTTTTTAGACAGATTAGTTTGTTTGCAGAGTAACTTAAACACACCTCTCTCTGTTAGTCATAAATACCCAAATTTATTCCTTCTGTTATCATATTTAGAGGCTGCCACACATATTTAATCATTTTAGACTTACACTATGCATGTAAAGTACAATGCATTTTACACAAGTGTGTTTGTTGGCGTTGATGCCAGGTGGAGCAGCTTATTAGTTGAAATGAATCAGATACTCAAGATTGGCTTCCATAATTATGTCTTGTGAGTAATGCAAAGCAAAAACACAATGCTACTGACAGACTTTTGTTTTGGTATTTTTATTCAAATATTTTGTACTGTTCAAACACACTTTAACACACACACTTACACTTATACTGTGCATGTCCTATTTGCTTTGCTACGACTGTTTTCCGCCGCCACTGTCGCTTTGTACTCCAGTGTTACTTTCAGTAACAGTTCCACCTCATTGTTGGTCCATGCAAACAAATCTCTGTTGTGGTTCTTCGCCACTGCTATTCTTTGTTCGTCTCTAGTAGCACTTTCTTCTTTCACCGTATCATCTGCAACTGCGGAGTAGATAATCTTCTTCCTGTTTACACCAGCACGTTCATGCCCAGTTTACATGCCACTTGACGTGTTTTTTAGTAGTAGTTGTAGTGTGGATGTAGTCAAAGGGTCCTATGTTCTCCAGTTCTAGGGTAGGGGTTAGAGGATTAGGACCCTGAGAACAGATACGCTTCCCACAATTTATGTCATCAGTATCATCACCAGAGTTTGACTGAGCCCCAAGGTGGAGCTGACAACAGTAAAGCGAGGATGAAATTATTTTGAAAGGGTGATAGACTTGAACTTTTGTATCAGTCATCCTTAATCTGATTAATATTCAAGCTCTTGTACTTTATTTTAAACCATAGAAAGACAGAAGTTTATCAGGTTTAGTACAAAAAAGAAACCTTGACATGCAAAACATTAATCCCAGCTGATTTTGTTTCTCCTGCGTCTAACAGTCTAAAACAAATGGATCCATAGCTGAGCCTCAATTCAGAGAGCAATCCAAAACAGCTGACTCTGCAGCTGATTGTGTGAACTGATTCTGTATACCTATTCCATCTCTTGCTGCTGAGCATATGGATGAACTGCAAGCTGTAGGAGAACTTGAATGAAATCACCCCCGAAATTTCTCAACCTTGAGATTCACCTGTTCTCCAAACAAAGTGTCAACTTTGTCAACATCTTTCACCTAGAGGGCCAGAGGAAAAAATTTAAAGCAGCAAACAAGGTTATATTTATAACCGGAATCTTGTTTAATTCAGTTGCCTGTATTGTTATTGATTGATAAAAATAAATTCCACTTTTTCTGGGGGGTTGGGTCATGAAAGTTTTTTGGCTTCTGAAGGTGGGCATTCTGAAGTTTGACATGCATGTGTCACTCCAGATTCACTGTCTCTCACTCTCAAGTGTTATCATTGTCCTTTTTAAATGGCCCTTTTGAAAGTTGGAGCATCACTATCTCTCACTCCAACATGCCACTTCATCCCAGTCGCCTATAATTTAACTGAACGCTGGCTTTCAGCACATTATTAAACACGCTGTTAATGTTGCAGTAAGAACAAAATATTAAACCGCAGTGAATTTCCTTTCAGTGTGAGTGCAGGCACACATAAAACCAGAAGCAACTGGGAACAGTTACAGAAAGCACTGTAACTGTGGACCGGTTGCAGGATTCTGAAACCGGTCCATTTATATATGCAGGTTTGGGAACGAAAAAGGATGTGGCAAAAAATCCAATTTTTCTGCTTTTCATTTGTACAGTTTGCAGCAGAATTTTTGTCTCCTTCTTCTCACTGGCAAACAACCAGCGTCTTAATCTCCTGCACTAATCACACAACAGAAAACACACTTGGGTTGTTGTTCTGACAGCTGTTCATTTTGACACGCTGCCTTGGCAATGGCTCGTGTGTGACTAGCACACGATCTGAATGTATGATGCTGCTGTTATGCACGGTGTGCTTCACGTTACACATGTGCTTCAACACACCTCTATAATTTACCATATACGTACTGATGAGCTGTTAATATAAACACTTGAATTTCTGAAATCTGCATAATCCCTACCTAATCCTTAGTAATCCTTTTATTGAAGGTTTAGTATGCTTCAAACAAACAAGGTCGTACAATACAATGTTGACTTCTAAAGGCAAAAAAGTTTATACCTATCCTGAATGGCCACACTCAAAGGTGGAGCAAAACGGCTAACATCACAGCCGCCTACTGACTGCTTCCTTCCCTTCAAGTAGTCTGCATGTCTTTGAATTCTAGATGGAATTTATAGTGTAAATGGGGATAATGGCACACACTTTCGGACAGTTTCTCCTCAGAGGCATTTGTTGTTAAACAAATGACCATAAGTTTTTGGGTGAAGAATGAAAAATGAGAGCTTAAGGTAGCTTTCACACGTAGTTGGGTTCATTTGGTCCAGATGTCAAATGTTTTGTGTTGATACTGACCTTTTACAAACAAACCAAGAGGAGTAAACATGATGGCATGGACAGAAGGTAACTTGTTGAGTGATTGTTTTGGTGACTGTCACTCGGCATCATTATCTCTACCTGGACCCACACAGGGAAAAACAATTTATGTATTTTCCAATTTAATCCACAACAGCCTTAACAAGCTGAACCAAACAGGCAAATGAATCAGTGTGTTTGAACCTGTGTCGAACACAACACCCCCCCAGGCATTGGAAAGGGGATTTTTATGCTATTTGCACATATTTACATTTACATTTAGCACAAAATTGGGCTCTTTCCATGCAACTGAGCCTCATTGGAAAAAAGTCCAATTTACAAACACCAACGCTGATAGCCACATGCAGTTAGAGTGAAATTATTACCTTCTTCAGAGAGATGGTGAACTGAAGCGCATTTTTAAAGGGGTGTCACAACTACACTTTCTAGTGGTCACAGCAGTGATGATTGTAGCCAGGCGTAGCAATAGTGCATCACAATACAATCTATGCACACAGATGGCACAGACAGTACAACACCTGATATTCACCAACATAAAAAACATAAAACCTACTTCTGTGAGAAGTGGAGACGATGGCTATGCACTGTACCAGTCCAGCTCAAAGCAGAGTAAAGAAAACAGCTCTTCATGTGCCCAGACGCCCATCATGAGGGGGAGCACAGTTAAAGCATCCCAAACAACAACCCCTCTGACAAAACAAGAACCATCCCACAGATAGAAATGAATAAAAGAACGTATTCTTGAATTAGATTACAAAATAAATGTAACTGTTATACATTACAGTAACTAGGGAAGATTGTGCAATTAAATTACAGTTACTTATGAAAATGCTCACGATTACATTGGGGGTTACATTTGAATATTTTCTGTAAAACACTAGGCTATATGATGAATAAAATTCATTTTGTTGCTTTGCATGTTTTTCCATGTCCATGATGTCTTCCATTGCCATTTCCAGCCACAGCCGTTTAGGAAAGTTTGATGCTATTTGCCGTGGAAATTTGTAAATTGCTGGTGAGGGATTAAGCAAATAAGAATTTATTAATAAAAAGAGAAAGACAGATAAGTACTACAATGTTAATCAGCTGGGCCAGAGGTTCTGTCTCCTAGGACAGTCACTAACATCTGGCCCTGAGCAAAGGGATGCATAATCATTTAGGTTTCATCTAGGTTTCTATGTTTTGGGGAACAGAGATCCTCTCCCGGCCTTGAATGAAAATTCAAGGAAAGGAGAGGAACAGCAAGAAAGGAAAACAATCAAAACAAGGGACATACGCTCCATCTTGTTCTTTCTCATGGTTTAAACATTAATAATGTCTGCATTGAAGATGTATTTGTTAGTGATCACAAATACATCTTATTTGATCTCGTTTGTGATGAGGATCCTCTGCCTGCTAAACGAGCGTCCTGCTCACGTTTGATTAACCAGCTTACTGTTGAGAAATTATCAGCCGCATTTGACGCAAGCTCGGTTCTTATTTCAAATGACGCGGACGCTTGTGCACAGGCGTTTAATGATCACAGCACCCTGCTGTTGGACAAAGTGGCGCCTCTTAACACTAGAGAAATTCCCTCTGTTAATACATCCCCGTGGATGAATGACACCATTCGCAGCTTGAGGCGTGTCTGTCAGAGAACTGAGCATTTATGGAAAGCGACTCAGTCCACCGCCTACATCTTACAGAGCTCTTAATAGACTTAAATGGAATGTTCAAGGATGCTAGATCCTCTTACTTTACTAACCTGATATCTGCCTGTCAAAAAAACCCTAAAGCTCTGTTTGAGACCATTAACAACATTGTTTCTCCAGCTGCATGTATTGTCCCTGTGTTTTCAAATGTTGACTGCAACCACTTTTTATCTCACTTTGTGGACAAGGTTAGAGCTGTCAGGGCAGGCATTGTTCCATCAGCAAACCCCCATATAGTTAAACATCACAGACTTTCAATACTGGACTCCTTCTGCCCCATTACCCTGAATGATATCATTAAGTTAGGGGGCATGATGAAACCTTCACAAAGCCCTGTTGATATTTTACCCAAATCTTTGCTTTTAAAATCCATACATCTACTTGGCCCATGTTTGGTTTATTATCTGTATATTATCATGTTTACTTATCTCTACAGCTGGGCCAGGTCCCCAGCTGTTTTAAGCATGCGGTTGTTCAGCCTACCTTGAAAAAGAACAATCTTGATGCAGCTTCATTTAGAAACTATAGGCCTATTTCTAAATTGCCTTTTCTTTCGAAAATTCTAGAAAAGGTTGTTGCGAACCAGCTACATAATGTTTTGGATTCCCATAATATCTTTGATAAATTTCAGTCTGGTTTTCGTAAAAACCATTCAACTGAGACTGCCCTCCTTAGGGTCTCATATGATATTTTGATGGCTGCTGATGGGGGTAAAAGTTCTGTGCTGGTCCTATTAGATCTCAGTGCAGCGTTTGATACTGTTGATCACTGCACTCTGATTGATAGATTGAAAACAACTGTGGGCATTACTGGATCAGCTCTGAACTGGTTTTCCTCCTATCTCTCTGAGTTTCTCTGTGTCCATAGGAACATATATGTCAGACTCTGCTCCTTTGTCCTGTGGTGTGCCCCAAGGTTCTGTGCTCGGCCCCCTGCTTTTCAGTCTGTATATGCTTCCTCTTGGAAAGATTATTGGTAGCTTTGAAGACATATCTTATCATTGTTATGCTGATGACATCCAATTATATTATAACAAATGGATGGCAGACAACTTTTTGCAACTAAATACAGACAAAACTGAGGTGTTGATTTTTGCCCCAGACAACATTACCCCTAAAATTAGGCTCTCTCCCTTTAGCCTTGAGAGCCTTGGATTCTGTGGAAACTTTTAGAAAACACCTTAAGACACATCTTTCTAGACAAGCTTTTAACTAGCCATATAGTTTTTTATTTTAAGTGTTGTTGTTGTTATTTGTTTTATTTTATTCTATTTTTTACTGTGAAGCACTTTGTGACCCCTCTTGTCTGTGAAGGGTGCTATATAAATAAAGTTTACTTACTTACTTACAATCTCACAGCTCTGACCTAAGCCCTACATATATGGACAGACTAATATAATGAGTATAAAAATAAGAACACACACACACATATAACGCTGAAATAAAACCGTGGTGTTTTGTCAGGAGATGCAGTGACAGAAACCAGCGGTGAGAAAACTATAAATCGCTATGACGTTAGAAGATGCAGACACCGTGGATATTTAACAAGCACCGATCAGGTAAAGCAACACTTAATATATCCTTTAGGGAGGGCCTCAGCTGTAAAGGAAAGAGGTGCGCTGGATTTGTAAAACAAAACGAGTGTCGTTGTGAAACAGCACTCAGCGCTATTATCGTTTTATCTTAATGAACTTGTTTTATAATTGGTGGAAGCAGCTTCACACAACAGCTGCGGCAGTCTCTCTACACTGTTTCGACCTGACCTTTATTTTCTTCCTGAGATGGAGGAATTTAGAAAGTTGTGTGGCGCTGCATCAGGGCCCAAGCTGTTTGGGTGCATGATTTATGCGTAAAATTCATCCAGCCAGAGGGTCCGCCCACAAACAGCTCAGGGAGCCGCACTGAGTGGCAGCCCCCTCACTCTGACATCTCTCCGTGTGTTGCTGTCCTGTTTGTGCATGTGCATATGTGTGTCTTTCGGACCTGTGTGTAAAGAATAACAGAATGGAAACACTGAGTTTAATCGTGCAGGATTAAATAAAGATTATAAAACAATGAAAAAAGAAAGTTATTTTTCTGAAAAGCTTCCAGCTTTGAACATAATTCACACAAGTGTAGGCCTACAGTAACCCAGCGACCTTGGTCCTGCCTTTATCTGTCATTTGAAGAGGTCGATATGGTCTCTGCTTTCTAAGTCCCGGCTGGGAGCCACTGATAAATGTCAATAGTGAGCCGTATGGGAGAGTCACTTCAAGATCAAAAGACTGACTGTGAACCTTGTGAAGGCCGATCCACTCATCGTCTGTCAGGGGAATTGAGTTTTGCAGTTTCAATGAATACAGATCATTTTGGCTTTCATTGTATAGTTCTCGATTTAGGCTCCATTCTTTGCTGGGATGCAACATACTTTTATTTTATTGGAAGTTTTTGTTGTTGGACATGTGCATTTTCTTAGTTTGATTGTTTTACAAATAACCGATCACCCTGTGGGAAGCTTTTTGCGACATTGGGAGAAAAACTGCAAAAATCATTATCAGTAATTGAATGTTAACAGTTGACTGGCCAGTAATTACAACACACTTCTAATAATGATCCAAGAGAGGTCTGTAGAAAGATTGGAAGTTGTATATACAGCATGTCTGCCTGAAGCTTTTGGTAATGTCTAATTAAATTTCACTGTAATTACAGGCAGTTTATTTAGGGACCATCTTACAAACTACATTGCTGGAAAAAATAACCCTCTGTGCTGTTTTAGCCCACCAATAACCATCTTTAATAATATTTTATGTCCTTTAATGTTATGAAGCAGTCAACCCGTGTACATTTGTGCAGCATGGACAATTTGTACGGTTAAGTGTTTTCAAACTAAAAGTGCTGCAATTTCGCTCACTTTGATATTTTTGCAAATAAGTTGTGGTGCACACAGACCCTTAAAAATAGCTTTGTACAAGCAAATAGCCTCTTTTATCGCCATATTCAAGTTTAAATAGCTGTAGGTGCTTCATCTGTGAAGCCAATCTACCAAGGCTGCCTCGTGCCTGAAGAGTCCGGTTTAATTTCAGTGTTCTCTGATCTGATTTCCTTTGCTTGACCGCCTGACGCCTGAGATAGCAATACCTCCATTACAGCAGCCTTTCAGAAAATACTGCAGTAATTTGGGGGAATTGACCCTTTGCTAAGCCACGCCCCGAATACGCAGCTGGCCAATCACAGTGCAGTATAGGACTCGCTCCAACTGAGGTCTGACACTTTCATGGCAGCGTTCCTTTGACTCTAATGCAAAATGAGCTGTTTTCTAGCTTTCTTTTGAAGTATTTTCCAAGATTTGGTCAAAGCTGTTCCTGAGGCACTGAGGTAATAGTTACAGTCGCTACCCAGAGAGGTTGAAAGAAGAACTACGATTTATTTCCTTTCCAAAACCTAAAACAAATCCAGAAAGATGTAGGCTGTGGATTGTTCCTAATGTAATATTTGTTAGCTAACGCTAGCTAACTGAATGTAACGTTACATAGCCCTAGTGTTCTGCTTTTTAATGATTGTAATAGTGAATAGAGACCTACCCAGCTTTACAGAAACAGCGTTAATCCTTAATGTCGTCCTCTTTCTCAATAGTCAGGCTCACTTTTACTCTGTGATCGGTAGGCTTTAGTGTCCGTCTTTATTTTTTTCACTGCCTGAATACAACCTTCAAATGTATAATGCAACTGCAAAACTGTCTGCTTCTTTCTGCGATCCCTTTTTCCAGAAATTAGACAATATTTTCCAGGCAGAGCAGTTACAGACAGTGGCAGCGCCGTGTTAAAACTCCGAGCAGGTCCAACAGTTTGTCGGACTTAGCAACAGGAACTAAGGGGGGGGGGGGCTTAGCAAGGGGTCAATTGCAGCAATTGTTTTTTATTTTGAAAATAGTCTGGATGTGCTTGTCTTGTGAGGAAAAAAATTAAAAATCCCAGTACATGACCTTTACAGGTGTCTAGAGAATTTTTATTACTAGAATTTTTTTTATCAATTAGTCATATGGGATACTTAGTCCACTGTGAGAAAAGTGGAAAAAAATACCCGGTTATACCGACTTCGTCAGATTCTGCTTTGAAATATCTTCTATAAATCATTACCTTGGCCTTTGAAACAGCAGTTGACGAAGTCTCAACTCAAGGTCTACTTACTCATTCTGGAGATTTTTACAATATCACACGGCCTGCATCAGCAGATGGAGTTTGCTCAGTTGCCTGGGAACTGTAGATGTTTTTCTGAACAACTCTAGGACAACTAAGTTGTGCTGGATGATGACCTGTCAAAAGCAAATCAGGGTCTGTTTTGAAAGATTTTGTTACATCCTGTAGGGCTAGTGGTATTGGGACATAAAAATAAACCAGATATAACTGGTATTTTGAAAGGATATTTATTTAAAACAAGGCAAACAGAACTCACAACAGAAAATGGGCCAATGGGTGCTGTGGAAATCAACAAAGGAATATAACAAAAAGAGATCCTCCAAAGGGGGACTATTATTCTAACTACAGAAAAAATAAAAGGAGTAAACCAAAAACCTCCCTGACTAAAATACTTTGCAAAACCAAAAACATGAAGCACACAGCACCCCTGAACCTAGTGTGAATAAACAAAATAAAACTACTGAGGACAAGAGCTATCAGCCCGACATGCCCTCAAAAACACTGGTGGAAAAACACTGAGCACACACCTCCTCTCCCTTCCAAACACTAGCTACCCTCCAGGCAGTCAATCGACATAAAATTCTTACTGTGATGTAAAGACAGAGCTTAGTTAAATGGACAAAAGATACTTTTGTTACAGATTAATAACTCACCACTCTGAAACTCTTGCTCCAGCCAGGCTGGTTGGCAACATGTACAGCTGAAACAAAGCTGTGTTTGCTTCTCACTGACTCGCCCTTCCCTACTTCTGATTGGCTATTACCGGCTTTTCTCTGACCCGCCCTTCTCTGCTTCTGATTGGGTAGTAGTCCTTAACTAGGAACTGCGCATGTGCAACTCCCAAAAAAGATCAGTTAGAGACAAGATGTATCACTCCATAGCTAAAACGGAGCGTTCAACACAGGGTGAAAAGAGGAGCTGCAGCAACGTGCAGTATAACAAAAATATGGTGTTTTTTTGAAAATTAAACCATGTAAACCTGTTCTGGTACAACCCCTAAATAAGATTTTGAACCTGAAAATGAGCCTAATACCACCTTTTTAAAGATGAGAAGTAGGTTATTAATACACATCACTTAATAAAATATGTTTAGATTTCATCCTGATTTGTTCCACTGCGGTTGCAGCTGCAGCTACAACATCGTTACGTGCGAGCCCTGCAGCTTCTGTGATTTTAGGGGGGAGATCTTTATTAATTAACAGGCCAGTTTCTTAGATGTAACCCATCTGTTGGCTATAATTGAATTATCCTAAGTGTTTTCACATATTTAGATTGACTATTTTACGTGTCCAAAAAATACAGAGCCAGAGTGGGGGTTAATAAACCGAGAAAAAAAGCCAGAATGAAAATCTGAAATTCCCTGAAACTAAAGTCACAAAAAATCTAAATCACTCTGGTGTTTTTATCTGAATACGCCCAATCCATGGCAAAATTTCTAAGGTGCATAATAATATAGTGATTGTAGGCTAAACTCACGAGTATTTCCTCACTGCTAAATCCAATTGCAAAGTCTAATATAACTTTCCACTGCATGCATACTACACGGCAGAGATGTGTGTTGTGTGATGTTGCAGCCTTGCAAAGTGAAGTTTCTCTCATAAATGTGTGTATATAATGTCAGAGACTCAAGAGTTTTACTTAATAAATTAATCCTGGAAATTAATTTTTGTCTCGGATTATTACCCCTCTCCGCTGGCTCCTTTTTTTTCTATTACAATGGACCTTATGTGTAGTTTTACCTTTACATCTTAATCATATTACACATAAAATAAGAGCCCATAAAATACATAATAGAGATTTGAACTACAATAAGAACACTGTGAAGATAATTAAACTACAAAAAAATCGTCAACCGCTTATCCTGCATACAGGGTCACAGACATTAGATTTCCAGTCTGAATTATTATCCCAGTCCACTATGGAAAAGTAATAGAAAGCTGCCCTGTTGCCACATTTCCACTCTCAACATATATTTAAATCTCTTTTGAATTTAAAGCTCCATGGTGCTTGTACTGTAAGCGTTTTTATGGTCAGGGTGGGAAAAGCATATGTGTAATTAAGCTGTACGGGGTAGGAGGGTACAGCACTCCATGAATTATACAAGATGTTATTTAAGCTGTAGTCGTCCCCCCCTCTTAAACAATGCTGTCGAATGCCGATGCCTTTTGCAGATGTCACTTTGGTTTGACGTGAAGCTCAAATCAACGTTGTGAAATGACGAACATTAGATTCTGCCATTCCTGTTTATCTTAATACCATCACTATTACTATTCATGATTGGGTGAACAATATATTGTCAGTTTTTGCCTCCCATCAAAGCTTTTCACTTTATCTTTAAAACCAAATTAAGTAAGTTCTTTGCAAACCCATCCACTCTTCAAACAGACCCTCTTAGCTTTCATAGCTTGAAATGGTAAAATGTAAAAGTGCAATTAGTACACACTACTCTGAATATCTGCTGCTGTTGCTGTTTTCAGCACTCAGCACGCGCTAGCATTTCAATCGGTCTCAACATTACCCACTTAGATGTGACCAAAAACAACTACTTGATTTAAATTTTTCTTAGGTAGAAGTAAGAATGCCCTGAAAGCTAGTCAACTGTATAAAAACTCTCAATAAATGTTACTTGAGCTCCATTTCATCTCAGGGAAAGAACAAATGTGGCATCTTGATGGTAACCATTTCAATATGAAAATGTCCTATTGTACCAACCACTTACTCTACAGCTCAGTAATGATCTCCAAAGTAGTGACCAGCTTTCCTTCATAAAAACGCTCTCACTGTCACGCTCTGCCGGTCAGCCATTCTTTGTGTTGCACTTTTGAGTTTAGTATCTGCCTTATAGTATGTTGGGTTTTGGGGGTCTGTCTTGTCTGTCGTCTAGTGTTTGGTAACCCTTGTCATGTCTGTTACCCCAGTGATCCCTCTGCATGTCTGTCTCTGTTTTCCCCTGCTCTCTCTCCCTGCCTGTGCCTCATTAGCCTCATGTCTTTCACCTGTGTTGCTCCCGCCCTGCTCGTTAGTCCCTGTGTGTATATATACCTGGTGTTTCTGTCTTGTCTTTGTCGGGTCATTGTATGTTGTCACCCTGTGTAGCAGTGTGTTTCGTGTCGTCAGCCTCACTCGTCAGCCTCACTCGTCGTCTCTCCCTGTTTCCCTGCCGTTATTGGATTTTGTATTTTGTATTTTGTATTTCTGTTGGACAGCCCTTGTTTTTGGACTCAGTCTATCAGCCACTCTGTTTGTAAGTGTGCTCGCTTTTCGTTATATTAAAACCACTGAACTATACCTGCTCCGCTCTGTGTCCTGCGTTTGGGTCCTTCAACCTGCTCCACCCTGCCTTCACCACAAAACCGTAACAGAATGACCCGACCAAGTGTGGACCCAGCGGACCTAGTGTTTCTAGCAGAGGATATAACCGAATAGACCTCAACCTGCGAAAGGTTAATCTCCTCGATCCATGATTCCACAGACTTGAGACGCAGACTCTTTGTTTATGGGTTAATGGAGAAGTCACTTAGCCGTAAAACCCAGGCTACTGAACTTACCCTCCATGGCTGCGCAGTTAGCCGTAATTAAACAAATGAAGAGAGACTTGGAGAAGATTTTGGATACTCCCGAGGGCTCTGAGGCAGGTATCGGCCTGTCAGGTTCACAGCCTGGTGGAGCTGCAGGGGCCAGCCATCTGCCTGTTCCGGCTAGCACTGTGGCGGCTAGCCAGCTACCAGTCAGCCAACCAGCTAGCCGTCAGCCGGCTAACCCCCAACCTGCCCCGCCTGATTACCGGCCTGCTAGCGCTGCTAGCTTTCTGCCTGCCCACCTGCCTGATCCGCGGCCCGCTAGAGCTGCTAGCCGCCAGCCTGATCCGCAAGTCTCCAGCTCGGCTAGCGCTGCTAGTCCTCAGCCTGTCCCCGGTGCTGCTAGCTCCAGGACTTGTTCCCAGCCTGCTAGCTGCAGTGTGGGAGGCTTCTTCCTCTCCCGGCCTTCTAGCACCCAGCCTGCTAGTCGTCCGCCTGATTCCCTCCCGGCTAGCGCTGCTAGCCGCCCGCCTGGTCATCTCCCTCCTGTGTTGGCTCCATCATCCGGACTGGTTGGGGACTCCTGGACATCTAGCTCTCTGGTCTCTTTTTTGATGGACTTGCCGTTAGAACCAGAGAGCCCTAGGATTGCTAGTCAGCCAACCAGCTCTGAGTTGACCAGCTAGCCTATGGCCTGATAGCCTGGAGGCTAGGCTTCCCCCGGAGGTAAGTCGCCTGGCCATCTTTTTGGGTTCCCGTGGTGGTCATCGCGACCAGGTCACTAACAGCGACCCGTCTGCAACCAGTGTGATCCCAGGCCAGCTAGTGCTGCTAGCTTTCTGCCTGCCCACCTGCTTGATCCCCGGCCTGCTAGCGCTGCTAGCAGCCAGCCTGATCACCAGCTGACTCCTGTTCCTTCGTCGGTGGTCCGACCAACACTAGCTCCGTTGGTGGCCCAGCCGACTCCCATTCCTCGTGCTCCGTCGGTGGTCCGACCGGCACCTGCTTCGCCGGTGGCCCAGCCGACTCCTGTTCCCTCATCGGTGGTCCAACCAACACCAGCTCCGTTGGTGGCCCAGCCGATTCCTGTTCTTCGTGCTCCGTCAGTGGTCCGACTGGCAGCAGCCCAGCCGGTGGCCCAGCCGACTCCTGTTCCCTCGTCGGTGGTCCGACCAACACCAGCTCCGTTGGTGGCCCAGCCGATTCCTGTTCTTCGTGCTCCGTCAGAGGTCCGACCGGCAGCAGCCCAGCCGGTGGCCCAGCCGACTCCTGTTCCCTCGTCGGTGGTCCGACCAACACCAGCTCCGTTGGTGGCCCAGCCGACTCCTGTTCCCTCGTCGGTGGTCCGACCAACACCAGCTCCTACTAATGGCACCTACTCACAAAGATTGCCTTAAAAGGACAGCAAGTGATTGTAATGCAATACACTTTTTACTCTCCCTCATTAGCATTATTCTGGCATTTCCATGTGTTGAGTGCATCAGAATTCTGTTTAATGTAACCAGGATTCACTTAATTAATAAGAATACTTATAATAAGAATAATACCGATATTGGATTTAAAAAATAAAATCAGATAGAGAGATTTCTCCAGCGACAATCGAGAGGGATGAAATAAAATAAAGGGAAAGAGATGGTGAATGGGGACGAAAATAGACAAATGATAAGATTTGTGACCAAGATACCTTCTTAGCAGGACATTCTATACTTGAACATGACTAAACGTCAACAGCCAGTGGCTCTGAGGCTGTACATAGACACAGTGGTGCTTTTAGCTAAATCCTCGTTTTTAGAAGGAATAATTTTAACCAATATCAACATGTTATTTTTTTCATGTTAGCATCCTAATATTTGCTGAGTAGTACTAAACTCAAAGTACAGATAAGGAATATGAGGAAAATGGCAGAGAAAGGCAAGGGACAGAGTGACAAAAGTGGTCCAACAGATATCAGCCATCCTCATTTGTCAGTCAAGGTCTACGTAATTTACACACCTGAATGGCAGAGTGTTAGATACAGCACATTACAATCCATCTGGGCCAATCTTGGAACACATGCCAGAAAGACACGAGCATGCATTCAATGTAACATCTATGTTTTATTGATATAGGAGAATAGGAGATGCTGTGAAAGAGGAGTAGTGGTGAACTTGGTGATTGGTCATTCTCCTGACAGCCCCGGTGCCTGGGTGTGTAGGCTTTCACATTCACTTTATA